TCCTGCTCAGGCAGGTCCTTTCTCTCCCTGTTCAACCGCTGCCAGGAGCAAGCCCAGGGTGGGATTCACGGGGAGGGGGGGTGGAGGTCTCGGCGCTCCCAGAGCTCAACCCCCACTCTAGACATTTTCTGGGGAAACTGATTTATGTGCTAGAGATGTATCCATCTGGCAGCAGCATCAAGGAGCTGGATAAAGCTCTTACCTTCTGTCTTTAGCTGGCCCAGGATGGAGTTTTCTCCTCGGCACATGGTCCTGGAAAGAAGGTAGGCAGCCGTCAGCACCACTGCCACTCCAGGCAATGGCATATGCTGAAGCAGAACTGGGCGAGGTGAATTGCAAACACAGATGCCTCTTAAATGCCCCTTGCAAGCAGAAGAAACATGGTGCCTCCAGAGCACACGCTTCTCCTGAGTGGCTGTTGATACAGCAAGGGCTGCTCATTTCCTCAGTGAGCTCTACCAACCCGTGCAGTAGCTGGGGAGTGTTTTTGCCTTCTAGGGCACACTGCAATGGTGATAAACGTCTTACAAAGAGGGCTGCTGCCACCTGTGCCACGGGCCTGGCTGTGAAATCACATCAAGGCAAGAAGTCAACGCGTGCAGAACACCAGGGCAGGGAATATGTGTGGTTACAGCTGGGCTGGAAAAGCCACCACTGGCATCTCATTCAAAAAAAAAAAAAAAAGAAAACAAAAAAAACCCAAGCACCACTTAGCCCATGGGCAGCTTCTCAAGACCTATAGTTGTCCTTGCAGAAGAAGGCTAAGCAGAAGGGCCTGCTTAGGGAGACGTGCTGCTTTCCTTCTGCTTGTGTCTCCTGCACCGCTTGTCTTTCTGGGGGTGCAATAGGACCCCTGCAGACCAGCACACAAGGGAGATTTCACTCTGGAGACAGCAGTATTCTCCACAGGGATCATGCCCTGGCCACACTCGTAACACAGCAGCTTTCCAGTAAAACCACCTTGCCTTGAGCCACTTTGCCTTCCTCTATAGCCATTCCCAGTGCAGGGCTACCTGGTACCGCAGCATCTCAGTCCTTCCCATGAGGCCTCATGGGTTGTAGGTACCCCCAAAAAACATCCATCCTAGAGCAGGGGGAGATGCCTCAGAGAAGGCAGCGTTGCCTTCACAGAGCCAACGGGCAGAGCCAGGCAAAGCACTGGCCAAAAAGGCAGATCTGGAGACAAAGCCCAGGGGCTGTGCATTCCCTCCTGGCCACAGTGGCAATGGGGGTGCTGCTGGATCGGTTTGGTTGGAAGAGAGATTTAAAATCATCAAGTCAAACTGTCAGCCCAGCACTGCCAGGTCACCACTAAACCATAACCCTCACCACCACATCTAGATGTCTTTTAAGTCCCTTTAGGGATGGTGACTCCACCACTGCCCTGGGCAGCCTGTTCCAGGGCTTGACAACCCCTACAGGGAAGAATCTTTCCCAAATATCCAACCTAAAACCTGCCCTGGTACAACCTGAGGCAGTTTCCTCTTGTCCTGCTGACAAGAGGAACCACAGTGAAAGCCACGGTAAGTGCCTAGAGGAGCCCACGACGACTGAGTGCAAGGGAAGAGATCTCAGGGGTAGGCCCAGATTCAATGAGCTAAAAGGAAGGCAAATGCACCTGGTAGCACTATAACAGATGCAGGGAGGAGCTGATGAGCCAGGAACTGGAGAGCTGGCATAGGGGGGCAGGGGGACCTACTATACCAGGGCATAGATTTTGCTGCAGTCAGCACTGGGCTTCCCCACTCAGCTCACCTCCCAGTGCACAGCCTGAGGGCAGCAGACAAATGAGCTGAAGCACCAAGCGAAAGCCACGTAAACATGTTTTCTCCCCAAACCCTGTGCGTTCCCGTGGACAACGTGCCCCGTGGCGCTGCCCTGACAGCGGCTGGAGCCTCGGGGAGCCCCCGCAGCACGGGGAGGTGAGCAGGGGGGTCTCCAGCAGCTCCGTACCTGTAGTTGAAGTGCATTATGGCCTGCAGCGCGTTGCCCCCGCCCGTGGAGATGTCCCCTTCAAAGCCCGGCAGCAGCGGGATCACCACGTACACTCGGAAACGCTTGTTCTCCCTGCAACGACAGTTGGGGGAGTATCAGCCCGAGGACGTTACACCTTCATAGGAGGTGAAGCTGGTTTCACTTTCCCCATGATGTTGGACTTGGTTTCCATCCAAGGCTACTACACAAACTTTAAGGGAGCAAAACGTGAAGCCTATCTCCAGCTTCAGGTCTTCTTCACCCGCCCTCAGTAGTTCAGCAAGTGCTCAGATCTTCAGGAGGAGGAATAATTTACTCTCAGCAGATGACAAAAGAAGCTAAAAGAAAAAACATTTTTACTGAAGTTCAAGGGCAGTGTGTTTTGCAGATTTTGTCTGCCACTGTATAGTTTTGAGCGCCCCGATAGCCCAGTCACATGGGTACTGGTGCAAACAACTGCCTAGCAGAGCACAGCAAAGATTACAGAGCTATCACAGGCAGAAAACCAAAATCTAACCTGACATTCCCACTATATCTTGGTTTTTAGAAGTCAGAAACGTCACAAAAGGTGGAAATAGCTCAGGACACAAGCAGAACATTGATCATTCAAGGAAAGCAAGTATGTCACTGATACATCACAACCCACAAAAACTCCGTTCCAGCGTTCCCCCGACTAAACCGTATCTGAACCCTGATCTGACTCAAACAAAAGCAACAACTGTGGCACTGCTCAGGGCTTTTCTTCAAGGCCGCCTCTGGGTTTTCTTTGCTGACAAGAGCCAGATGCATCTGCTCTGCCAGCGCCTTCCAGGCCCCCCTGGGTGTGAGCAATGCCCTGCCCTGCCCAGAGGAGGAGGAGGAGGAGGATGCTCCACTGAAGGCTGCTGCCACTAGATGGCAAGCACAGTTTGACCAGGACAAAACCATTTCAGGAGCTGTCTGAAAATGAGCCAGGCTGCAGTCTTTATTAAAACTATTCCTTCCTCAGGCAAGTTGTGCGTGTGAACTTAAAAGCATGGGAACCATGAAGCACTGGGGTCTTGTCTGAGCTGGGAGGGATGCAGTGAGGACCTGTGTTTCTTTAATTTCAGTTGGCACTTCCTTATAGCTGTGCTGTAACAGTAAATGAGCTTTAGTTTGTCAGCAAACCTCAGAAACAGTTAACAAGGTCTTACCCACACACCACAAGAGACTTTGTATAATGAAAAAGATCTACCAACAAAAGCATTCCCCAAAAAGCAGCTTGTTTGCCTAAGCCCAGTGTTTATTAAACTAGTCAGAGAGCCACCCATGAAAAAAACAAGAGGAAACCAAAAAAAAGAACTTTATTTGTTACATCAGTAGAAAATATTTAGTCTAGAAGAGTGTGAGGTGTACAAGCTTAACTAAAGACCTTCATTTATGATTAAACATCTGCCTGTCACCCACGCTGTTTTCCTGGGGCATGAGCATTTCCTTTGGAACATGAGCATTATGATATAAACCATTTAGGTCTGAATTTACTTTTAATCTTAGGCAAAGCCAAGCACTCTGGAGTGTGCAGAATTTTAATCTAGATTCTACTCAGTTAGGAACCACTGACGTTAATCTGGCACAATATTGGCACCAAATTCAAGTAGTACCAAAGTGAGTATCACATGTGAAAACGGGTCACTGAAGAATCTGTGACTCCCTTTTGTACTTGACTCTTCGGCATCTGGACAGAACAACACCCATTACATAAACTTCATAGTTTATGGAAAGGCAAATCCAGAGCTGCTTTCCAGGGGCCACCAACTGGCAGGGAGATGCCATGTCCAGATGCCCACCAGCCTGGAGGTTGCAACACCAACACCAGCAACACCACTTCCAGCAGTACTGGCACCACTCCTCACCTACCCCAGGTGAGACAATCCCTCCCATCTTTTCATCTTTAGCTGATTTCAGCTATTTGGGCTATACACTGCAGCTCACTGATTACCAGAATCTCCACCTTGTTACTCTGCCCTGTTGACAGTGGCAGAGCAGATACCACCCATCTTCTCCTGGGTTGAACAGTGCTGCTCTTTCCACAGTGCCTCTGAACAAAGCCTGTTTTGTGGCAGCTCCTGTAGCCTGGCAGACACTGTCCATACCACAGTGTCTGCCTCAGCTTGTTTGCCTATAGCCAAGTGGGAGCTCCCAAGGTCAAGTGCCAAAAATACAGAAATTTCTGTGACTCTGGAGAAAGCATCTCTGGGAATACAGCCCCTGCATACCTCTGGATAGCTACAATATGGAAAAAAAAAACTAATTGCAAGAAAATTCTCAATGCATGGCAAAAAAGCACACGAGAGATGACAAAAAGCTTAGAAAGGTTTCTGTATATCAGCCCAGCAAGAGCAAGACACAGTTTCAGACTACGACATACATGTATCTTAGAGACATACTCCAGGGCAGCAATTCAAGCAAGGCCTGGACTGAACTCAAGCAATTCAATCCAGGACCAGAGCAAGGACAAGCCACTACCTGTGGTGTTAATGCTAACACAGGGTTAGGTGTGCTGATATAAAAGCAGTGTCTGAACCATGGCTGGATTTGATCCACCCAGGACCCAAATGATGGTCCCCATGCAATGGCTAGAGGCTGTAAATACCTTCCAGCACTTACCAGAAAAAAGTTGTTCAAACAATAGCTGAACCCTGCAGTCAAATCCTCAAAATGCATTCACTTGCCCTATTTGAGGCCAATCCTCTCTACAGAGAATTTGAATAAACCACAAATCATAGCTCAACCTTCTCATCCATTAACTTGCCTTACCACACTGCCAAGGCTGGCTGGATATGGAGCAAAGGCGTCACTGAACCCAAGTATAAAGGATGTGGCTTTTAAACAGGTTCCACAGTTAAAAATAAATTTGCATCAGGATTAAGTCCAGAAAATCACCTTCTGGCTGCAAAGAAACCACTAGAGTGTCTCACTGCTGCAAACACGAGCAGATGTTTGACCCCAGAGGTTCTGTGCTGGAACAGCCATTGTACAGTTGTGTCTGTCAAGATATTATTTTACAGCACACCCTATAAAATGCACTTGGAAGCCTGTCAGTGCCTTGCTAGGAACAGGTTACCTGTGAGCTTTAAGAATCCTCTGAGCAATTGCATCGCCGATCTTGTTCCAGACAACTTTGTCATCAGCACAGCTAATAAAAAACTGGTTCTGCAGGAAGAACAAGCAGAGCTACTGTCAGACACTGCCAGCCACAAACATAGGAATACTTGCACACGTTATTTTAGACCAAGATCAACTAAAGATAGGAGAGTCTGTGTGGCATTTGAGTTGATACGTTGGGTTTTTTATTATTAAATGATGTGTGGGTCTCTGTTCACTTAGGGAATTAATTTAGTTCTTACCAATCCCACTCCTTAGGAAGTTCAAACAAAAAACATCTGAAGAAGAGTAAACAAAAAAAAAAAAAAAAAAAAAAAAAAAATCAAAGGGACGAGAAAGAGCATCTCCATTCAGCCAGCACTCCAACACAGGAGATTGCTGCAGCTCCAGGCTGTAGGGATGGGAGTGGGAGGTTCATGAATGCACAGAGGACACTGCAAAGCCACAGAGGAGCCAGAGAGACCACTGCACAGGCCGTGACAGTTCCTGCAGTTCTGCAGAGAGGCTTATAAAGGAGAGATCTGCTGCTGTGGTCAGGAAGCTGTCGGCCTGAAGTCAACAGAAACAGCTCCTCAAATTCAGAGCAGATTTTGTATTAATATCTACATTGTGATCCTTTTGAGTCCCTTCCAACTTGACATATTGTATGACATGAATCCAAATTCATTAAAAATTATGACCAAACCTCAAAAAGCAGAATGCCTCTCCTGATGGCTGTGAGCCTTGCCCAGAGCATCAGGACCCTCCCGCTTTCCCTCACTGCCACTCACTTCTATATATATGTAGTGCTTGCTGTTTTCTATCACGTTGACATAGGCAGTGTGGATGGACTCCTCGTGGTATTTAATGCCGGCCGACCAGTCAGCAGCAGAGCGGATCACCTGGAAAGCAAGAGATGAACACCTTCAGTCCTCCCCGACCCAGGATGGCACAGCATTACAGCTGAATTATTTCAAAAGTAATACTCTTCCCTGGCATCATCTGCCTGTCAGGATTTAACTAAATAAAGTGCAACATTCACCATTTATACTGTATTTGTAATAAGGAGAAAGGATGCTCAAAAACAGTATTAATAACATTTTTATTAAAAACATAAATGCCCTGTGTTATTGTCCTCTCTCCCTCGAGCAGTTTTAGACGTGATAGAAGCAGCAGAAAATGTAAGTTCCATTCTTGCTTAAGGTCTTACGATAAACTGCTTTTAAAACAACCTGAACTTCTAGGCCTTAGGGGTGCACATCCAACCAGTGATCACCTCTCTGGCAAGATCTGAAGCTGGTCTCCAGCTGGGGCAACGCGTTTTCCCCACGCACAGTCAGTCTGATAACACAGGCCCTGTCTGTGCCCTGGTCACTCGAGGTCATTTATTTCTGCTGCCAAATTCTTGCACAAGCCATCCAATTTGTGATGATATGACTTCTAAAACTCAGAGCAGCTCAGCTGCCCACACTTATTTATTTTTTTATGGGAAATCCACATTTAAACTAGATACTGTGAGATCCCCAGGGCATATTCTGCCCCTGCCTCTTGCAGATCTTGCACAAGAGAGCCAAACCAATGGGAGACACAACCTCTGGCCGTGCTCTTGGCCCAGCTGAGCCATCCCTATAGCAGGGAGCTTCCCGTCTGGAGCACGAGAGATGCTGTGGCATCTCCCACTTCTCTGCTCCGAGTCAAGAAGCAGCCCAGCTATGCCCTCAGTGACATTTTCCTACAAGGAAATGTTGGTTCTAATCAAGTGTTGGCAAAATATGTGCTCGGGGGAAATAATTACTTGTGACTAGGCTCTGTCTTTAAATATCGTCAGACAAAACCATGGAAACAATAGTCTGGAATGGTACTTCAGAAAATTGCAGACTGTAGCTTCCTAGTGTACAAAGTAATAGACAATTTTTTTTTTTTTGGCAGTTAACTTTGTCCATGCTCCACAGAGATACTTCCCTTTCAAGATAAGCTGCTGAGCCCTGCACTGAACCAAGTAACCTCCACACCCTCATTTACAGCAGCAGTAGCTGAAACTGCTTGGGCTGAGGAATAAATGTCCTTTTCTGAATTGGGAGCTCAATAGCAGCAAAGGCTCTTGCTTTGAAAGACAACTTTACTGCCAGAAGACAAATCAGTCCAAACTAGCGATGCCACTTGATGCCACAGAACCATCACAAAGGACCATCCCTTTACAGCACCATGGCTTCACAGAATCATTTCAGTTAGAAAAGGCCTTTAAGACCATCAAGTCCAACCACTCAGCTAACTCCACCAAGTTCACTGCTAAACTGTGTCCCTAGGCACCACATCTACACAACATCTAAACCTGTCCAGGGAGGGACCCAACCACCTCCCTGGACAGCCTGTTCTAATGCCTAACAACCCCTTCAGCAAAGCACTTTTTCCTAATGTCCAACCTAAACCTCCTGGCACAACTTGAGGCTGTTTCCTCTTGTCACTTGTGAGAAGAGACTCACCCCCACCTCTCTACAACCTCCTTCCAGGGAGCTGTAGAGAGCAATGAGGTCTCCCCAGAGCCTCCTTTTCTTCAGACTAAAGAGCCCCAGTTCCCCCAGCTGCTCCTGGTAAGATCACTTCAGCAGCCAGCGCCAATCACAGCACAGCTCCAAAGCCTCAGTGACAGGTGAGGAGGTGGCAGGACAAGGCCACCAGACAGATGCAGCATGAGGCCCGAGGAAACAGAGCTGTGTCCGTGGCACTCATACACACCTTGAAGTTCCATACACAAGCCTTCCTTCATCACTGATGTTTCACCTCACACCTCTGGACATCTTTCCTGTCAAGGTATTTAAAGTGAGCTGGTTCTAACCCAACCTACTTTCACAGGGATAAAAGGCCACACATTGCCCTGACCATCCAGAGCTGGTGTCTCCACGCTCCTTCTCCTCCTCAGGCTCCAACAGCAGCACCGAGCGCTGGTCTGGGCCTGTCATCCCTTTAACTGACACAACAGTAAAACATTTCATGTTTGCTGTGGGCTAGTGCACAAATCCTGAACAATGCAAGCTCTCACGCAGACTTCAAAGAGGGAAGGGCACGAGCCACTGCCAGAGTATGACATTGCCCTGGTGTTTACCCGAGGACCGGGGTATTGCCTCACCGCCCCGCGTCACGCTGGCTTGGGCTGGTGGCTGTGAACTCTGGACCGGAGACAGAGGTGGGGAGAGGTGGGCACGGCCTTTGGCCAACGGCTCTTTGACTCCCACAAAAATCAATGTGCAATCATGTGGCCATCGGGAGCAAAGCCCATGAGTTCAGATGAGCGAGGTTGAGAGACCACATCTGGCCAACCCATGGAGCTGACAAGCTCTTCTCCTCCCTCCCAGCCTGCACCTCCACGTCTCCCCAGGCAAGGACACTCATCCTCCCTGCCTGGAGAAAAGCCCTTGTCAGAGTTACTCCTGCTATCCCCACCCTCTGGAAAACACTCTCCTGCTCCTCTCCTCTGACAAAGGAGAGCAAAACCAGATGGTACAACGAGGCCAAAATCTGTTGCTGACAGGTCAGCGGCTCGGGCTCGCAGCATCACTGCATCCCTCACGGATCCTTTGTGTTTCCCCTCCTCTGATCTGCCCACAATTGAAGACAGATTTACAAAGCAGCTCAGAAACAAGAAAGCCACCAGCCAGACTTTCCTCAAGCACGCACAGCCAAGGACAGTCGCTGGATGATGGATTTTACCTCAGAGCAGTAAATTCTGCCTATGAAGTCCCTACACAGCATCAAAACAGGGATAAGAGAGGTCTGGCTGTTGGCCAGCCAAAGGATTTGGTATCAAGAAGAATTATACTGTTCTACCTTTCCTGGATAAAAAAGTTGGTGAAAGATTTCAGGGTACCTGCTAATTTCTGTGCTGGATTGTACCACTGAAAGGAGATGTGAGCACCTGCAGCCCTCTGGCCTGAAACAAATGTATTGGACAGGCAAGAGGTTTTATTTGTGTGACTACAGGAAAGGAGAAGCCATGTAGGGACATCTTGATGCACACCCTGGGAGCTCCAGAAAGTGGCAACTAGATGGAGAAGGAGCTCAGATCCAAGCTGCAGGTGTCCTCCCCACCTCCTGCAGCAGCCAAATATGAAAGCTTCATCAGGAGAGCCTGAGCCACTCTCATGACCCACCACAGGGACTTGAGGGATGCTCAGGGCACTTATGTCATCTGGGGAGCAATGGAAACCAGGCCAGTGTGAGCATGACAGAGGAGACAGCCAAAATTACAGTACATGCAGAACCATGCTGTGGAGCTTAAGGAATCATCCAGAGTTCATTACCCAGCTGCACACAGCCCAGGCCCAAGGGACCTGCACCCAAAGTGACCAGCCTGGGCACCCTCACTACGACCACCATTCTGGGTGCTGCAAATGCTCTTCTCCCACACTCTTCCCTCATACCAGGAAGGCTGGTACATTGCAGGGCAACATGTTTTCAGCCCAATATCATGTAGTTTTATTTATCTGGCACTATGCAGGGCTGGGCTACCCTGACAGGTTTCTAAAAGCTGCAATTGAACATAAATTAGAAATGAGCAAGGTAGTTTCAAATGAATAATTTACTAGACAAACCTGCTCTCTTTTTGCTGTTTACGGCATCGCTGAGAACAGCGCCTCATTTCCTGAATGTATCAGTTATTTACAGTGCCCCAACCACGTCATGACAAAGCCTGTTTTCAAACAGCTCACCTGTCCCTCAGCATTGGTGTAGTCACCATTTGAGCTTCATCCCTCCCTTCCATGGTCTGATGCCCTCAGCCAGCAGCTCTGCAGTACAGAGCAAAGGAAAGCTGGACCTAGACTATGCTCAGTTCAGTTTCTCCTTTGGGAGCTTACCTTTGTCCTACAGCAAACCCCATGAATCAGAAGTTGAGACTTATCTTGCTGGTAGAGCATACTCTGGGGAAACAAGACCCTCACTTCCATAAAGAAAGCTTCCCAAAAAAGCTGGTGTCACACACTCAGCCAGGGAGGCATTTACAGCCACAGGAAAGCAAGATGACGCCTGGAGTGAGTCTACTTCTCAACAAGCTGCAAGCATTGTTTTGGAGGCTGATTTAAAATGCCTGAGATCCATAACACAAGATCCTCATGCTGGCCATCCCTCACACCACACAGGGAGGAGCAGACAATGCCCTGGCAACCCACAAACCCAGAAAAATGCATCTCGTTACACTAAGCGCTCCCAAGCATGCTGTCATCTGGGTGGACCACTCCTTACAAAGAGCAAAGGCATGCAATTTTCCTGATTTTGGTCTAATGGCTCTTATTTCATACATCTTTCATCCACAGAGACGCACAATTGTTTTGCTGCTTCAGCATAACTAGTTTGACTTTGTATTCTTCAACAAGTCCCACATTTCTGCTGAGTAACAGTAGTATTCAATATATGGAGTGTTGGAGGGAAGGGAGGCCATCCAGA